CTACTCGGGAGGCTGAGGCAGGAGAATGGCGTGAACCCGGGAGGCAGGGCTTGCAGTGAGCTGAGATCCGGCCACTGCACTCCAGCCTGGGCAACAGAGCCAGACTCCGTCTCAAAAAAAAAAAAAAAAGAGAAGGAGCAGCTATGGAAAGATAGGGCAGACCAGCGTTCCAGACAGAGCAAGCAGCAAGGGGAGAGGCTCGGAGGTAGGACAAGCTTGGCTCTGGTCTTCCAGGACTAGAAGGAAGTTTGCTGTGGTTTGAGCAAAAAGCAAAAAAAAAAAAAAAAAAAAAAAAACGGAAGGAAAGATCAAACAGGCAGGCAGAGACCAGTCACATAGGATCATGTGGGCCATGATAATGGGGTTAGACTCTGTTGAAATTTTAATACTAATTGGTTAAACAGTAATCCTGACTCAAGACCTCTAAAGCCTGTGTTAGGACCACGATACCAAGGATCCCGCCTTACCTCCAGCCCTAGTGATAAAACCAGTCAGCAGACACACAGTAAAACAACTGACTCTTCAAAAAAATACCATTAGTATTATCTTCTGGCAGAGGTTTCGATCAAGAATAGCCTGGACACCATTCCCACCAGCCATGAGGCATCTCAAGGCATTGCTCAGGATGGCTATAGACCCATCTGGCCAAGGTCCTCTGACACCTCTTGACACCTGTCTCTATCAATCAAACGCTCTTTGTTCCAGAATCCAGGGTTTGGATTCTGGTCTTCCCTCCCTAACATCAGAATAGAAAAGTCAGGCTAGGTTTCTTCCTTTTTCCAAGTATGAGACCCGACAGCTCTACCTGCCCTTGAGCAATACCAACTGGAAACTTGACAGGGTTCCCCGCACTTGAAATGCCTTTGTTATTTTTTTCTCATCGTAAAAGCAATTCATGTAGGGAAAAAAATAGAATAATAACAAATCGGGAAAAAATATACAAAGAAAACAAAAATCTCTTTCATCTCCCTACTGATAATTTTGTAATGCAGTTCTTCTCAAACTTTGATGTCCACACAGATCTCCTGGAGATTTTGTTAAAAAGCAGCCATTTGTTTGCTGGCGTTTTTTCTGAGACAGGAACTCTATCACCCAGGCTGGAGTAAGTGGCACAATCACAGCTCTCTGTAGTCTCAACCTCCTGGGCTCAATCTACTCTCCTGTCTCAGCCCTCCGAGTAGCTGGGACTACAGGCATAGGGCACCACTCACAGATAATTTATTTATTTTTATTTTCTATAAAGACGGGGTCTCACGAGGTTGCCCAAGCAGCTCTTGAACTCCTGGGCTCAAGCAATCCTCCTGCCTCAGCCTCCCAAAGAGCTGGGATAATATGCGGGAGCCACCGTGCCCAGCCCAAAAGGCAGATTCTGATTCAGGAGGCTGCAAATGGGGCCTAATTCTGTGTTTCTCTTTTTTTTTTCTGAGACAGTCTTGCTCCATTGCCCAGGCTGGAGTTCAGTGGCACAATCTGGGCTCACTGCAACCTCCACCTCCCAGGTTCAAGCAATTCTCCTGCCTCAGCCTCCTGAATAGCTGCAATTACAGGCACACACCACCACACCAAGCTAATTTTTGTATTTTTAGTAGAGACAGGGTTTCACCATGTTGGCCAGGCTGGTCTTGAACTCCTGACCTTGTGATCCACCCACCTCAGCCTCCCAACGTGCTGGGATTACAGGTATGAGCCACCGCGCCCGGCCAACTCTGTGTTTCTCATAAGCTCTTAGGTGAGCTAATACTGCTGACTCCCTTCACACTTGAATAACAAAGATGTAGCACCTACCCTTCCTGAAATGCACAATGATCCTCCAGGTCTCCTTTTTTTTTTTTTTTTTTTTTAAGAGTATTTTGCCCTACTGCTTGTTCTGGATGAGATGTCGCAGCCTCCTCTGCCTTACTCTGCAAAGCCTCTTTTCATGATGGGGTGAGAGGAAGAAAAGAAAAACCTGTTCTTTATATAAAAACTACCCGAGGTTGTGCAGGTCTCAACCCAGAGGCTCACACTTCCTGGCTGTGATCTCTCTCTGCAGGCAAGCAGCTCTCAACTGAGACAACCTTGACCTCAGAAGGGGCAGCTCTGGCCAACTTATCCCTGAATGAGCTTAAGAGAAAGGGGTCGGCCGGGAGCAATGGCTCAAATCTATAATCTCAGCAACTTTGGGAGGCCAAGGCGGACGGATCACATGAAGTCAGGAGTTTAAGACCAGCCTCACGAACATGGCAAAACCCCATCTCTACTAAAAATACAAAAACTAGCCAGGTGTGGTGGCAAGCACCTTTAGTCCCAGCTACTCAGAAGGCTGAGGCAGGAGAATCGCTTGAACCTGGGAGATGGAGGTTGCAGTGAGCCAAGATTGCACCAATGCACTCCAGCCTGGGCAACAGAGTGAGAGTGTCTCATAAATAAATAAATAAATAAATAAATAAATAAATAAGTAAAGAGAGAGAGAAGGGGCTTTACTAGGCTGCAGGGAGCACAGGTGGTCTGAGGACCGCTTATCAACTGAGAGGAACAGTGGAGCGCACTGAGCGGGAAGTCACAAGGCCTGAGCTCTCATCCTGCCTGGCTCGCTTGCTAGCCATGTGATAGGGACAGTCACTTCCCTTGTTTGGCCACTGGTTTCTGCATGAGATCATGCTCTCCTAGCTCTAGAGTCTATGGAAACTCTGCAGAGACAGGCAGGCAGAGTAATCGATGCTACCAGTCTCCTCCTTACCTTCTCCCTTTGAATCCAGTGGAGAATACAGCACCTCCGCCAGGGTCCACAAGAATCTGCCAGCTTCAAAT